GGTGTGTACATAGGTGAGAACAGATGGAAGTATCTATAGGTTCGTGCAAATAAAATTATGTGGGTGCAGGCACATACATTCATTGAAGATGCAAATACAGATACTCCTAAAATACCTCCCAACATTGGTTTTCTGGGTTTAAAGGCTTAGGACCATAGTCTCATGGCACAATGCAGTCAATTGGCGTAACAGTTTACAAAAGTGAAGATCTGCATCCTAGTGAAGTGAGTAGTGTCTGGGGTCTTAAAAGCTTGTGAGCGGCCTTCTGAGACACAACTGTGGGTCTCTGCTAGCCAGGAGAAAAATAGTAAGAAAGCAGCCAAAAGCACAGAGAAGAAACAAGTCTACATGAACCATGACCTTGTCTAGACCAGAAGAACTAGATGGTGCCTGGCTACAACCACTGACTGTTCTGACTGGAGTCACAATAGTTGGTCTCAGATAGAATGGGAGAAAAATATGGTGCAGAACTCAAATTCTAATTAAAACAACAAGAAGAAGAAGCCAGATACACTGGAACAGTAGAGAGCAGAGGACTCCCTGAGACTGTCACCCTGAGACACTCTTTAAACTGAGAACTAAGCCTATCCTCTGAAATCACCTTTTAGGAAAATGGCAGAGTGACACACCAAATAAAGGATATTACCTGTAAGATCGTTGCCTTACTTAAAAGCCATCTGTATGAGACAAAAAGCTTCAACAATTTACCAAAGGCAAAGATGAGAAGATAAGGGGACAGGGAAACTAAATTACTGGAAAGGGAACAAACTGAACACAGTTAAAGAGAATGTTGAACATTGTGATAAATGTCACTAAGGTCCCTAACTAAGGTGAAACTGACCCAAGCCATGGTATTTTCAATCACCTCATATGAATGTGAAAGCTGGACAATGGTTAAGGACGATCAAAGAAGAATTGATGCCTTTGAATTATGGTGTTGGCAAAGAATATTGGATATACCATGGACTACCAGAAGAATGAACGAATCTGTCTTGGAAGAAGTGCAGCCAGAATGCTTCCTTAGAAGCAAGGATAGCAGGACTTTGTCTCACATACTTTGGACATGTTATCAGGAAGGACCAGTCCCTGGAGAAGGACATCATGCTTGGTAAAGTAGAGAGTCAACGAAAGAGAGGAAGACCCTCAACAAGATGGTTTGACACAGTGGCTGCAGTGATGGGCTCAAGCATAACAACGATTGTGAGGATGGCACAGGACCAGATAATGTTTCATTCTGTTGTACATAGGGTTGTTATGAGCTGGAACCGACTCAACAGCTCGTAACAGTTTATGTGGAAATTATGAAATAGGAACCTAATTTGCTGTGTAAGCTTTCACCAAAAATGCAATAAAATATTATTTTAACAAAAGAATACTACTTTATGTAGGCTGTAGAGCTATACTGTGAAGCCTACCCCAGAAAAGGCATTACAGATAGATAGAAGTGAGTATTTCCCAAGACTATTTGTCTCTTCTGCTTCTGTGTAGATGGCTTGTATAGCAAAAACACTAACAACAGCCTGGACAAAAAATAAATATCTCACCCTAACCTTAAAAAAAAAGAATTTATATATTCAAGGATCATCAATGGCTGCTAAAATCATTGGGTAAAAAGTTGTTGGGGAAGAGGAGAGTCACAGAGTCTGAGTGTCACCTCAGATTTTTATTAATCACAGTAGAGAAAAGGTACTTTTATAGTGAGAGGATCTGGCAGACCAAGTGATCAGAGTTAACATTTCTGATAATGGGACAAAAGGGACGTTATGTGACGCCTAATGTGATGCACGAGAGTCCTTGGATGGCGCAAACAGTTAAGCACTTGGCTACTAACAGAAGGGTTGGTGGTTTGAATCTATTCATAGGTGCCTGAGAAGAAAGACCTGGCAGTCTACTTCCAAAAGGCCACAGCCATTGAAAACCCTATGGGACACAGTTCTGCCCTGCGACACATGGAGTTGCCATTGAGTCAGAGTTGACCACAGCAACTGGTTTGGTTTGGTTTTAATGTGATGCACACAGGGCACAAGATCATCTATGTAGTATTGTTGCCAAAAATGTTTAATCTGAAAATAATTATGAAACAATCTGAAACGTCCAGATTGTGGGACATTTTATAAGACCAATGTCGATGTCATGAAAGATAAAAATAGGGAAACTGATCAAATTAAAGGAGACTAATGAGACGTGACCCGAATGCACTGGATGGTCCTTCAGTGAATCCTGGATCTTAAAATCACAGCTATAAAGGACATTTTCAGGAAAAATGGAGAAATTTGAATATAGACTGCAGAATAGATGCCACTGTGATGCAATGAATCACCTTTATATGGCTTTTCTACCTGTGGTTTTCTAACTCCCACAGAATGATTGGGGGGGACTATGCAAATAATGTACAGAACTCAAAGTCCAGGTAGGCTTAAAAAGAGTTTAATCCTAGCGGTTCAGAGAGGACCTCACTACCATCAAGAAGAAGATCCGGCAGCGGAGCACATTCTTTGGACGCAGGGTCCCTGCGCTGAGAACCTCCAAGACCCAGGAAACAGACAGACAGCTGCAACGCTGGAGATGGTGCTAGACAGCGAGAACTGGTGGCAAGCACAGCAGAGTCCAGTGGCAGAGAAATGGCAGCAGCAGAACCAGCAGACCAGTGCGAGACAGCACGGTGGGCTTCCTGGCCTGCGGAGCAAGGCGGCTACCTTGGGCTTGTCGACCCATGGAGCAAGAAAGCTGAGCACCTTCATGCAGAAGGCTTACAGGTGGAGTGAGGTACCTCCTTTAGCTCTATAGCAGAGCTAAAGATTTGTAATCCTTGCCTGGACTGGGCAGAGGCCAGGCCCAGTGGCAGGGGCCTGCTTGCAGGCATGGTGGAGAAGAAGCTGTCCTGATGGAAGAACTGTATACTGAGTTATTCCTGTTACCTCCAAGTTGATCCTGATCCAAAATGGTAACCTGTTACTTCCCCAGTAAACCCCATAATCATACTGTGGGGGGAAAATGGATGTTGAATGTTAACAGATGCTTTTTATGCATGGATTGAGAAAATTTCTCCTTTTATATATATATGTGTGTGTGTGTGTGTGTGTGTGTGTGTGTGTGTGTGTGTATAAAATCCAAATTTTGGTTATTTTCAGTGGAATGATTAATGGGATAACCTAACCTGCCATATTCATGGTAACAGAAGTCTCTCAAAGCAATCTTGAAGGGGATACAGGCGTTGTACAAAGGAGTACATAATTCTTTACTCTTCCTCCTACTACCACCCATTATGTATATTTTCTACCTCTGCAACTCATCTTGCGTTCTTGGACGATCTACTTAACCTCTCTGTGAGTCAGTTTCCTCATCTGCAATGGGAAAAATGATAGAACCTACCTTATAGGATTACTTTGGGGATAAAATGAATTAATACATATGGAGCACTTAGAATAATACCTGATATATCATAAGTGCTTAATAAATATAATCCATTATTATTGTCTCCAATAATAGCAAAGACTTCGAGGTGGAAAAGAACTTGACATGTTCAAGGAATAGCAAGAAAGCCAGTGTGCCTGGAGTATAATGAGCAAGAGGAAAGAGTGGTCTATGAGATACCAGGGAAGAGGCACGTAGGAGACGGGTCACGAAAGACCTTACGGGCTGCAGAAGGGAGTTTTGCTTTCACTCTAAATGCTGTGGAAAGCCAGGGAGGAGATGATCTGGTTCATGTCTTTAACAGAATACTTAGGCAGCTGTGAGGAGAATGGATTATACATGTTGGTAAGATTGAAAGCAGAGTAATCACATTAGAAGTTTACTGCAGTAGTCCAGAGGAAAGATGGTGGTGGCTAGGATTGTAATGGTGGACACGGAGATGATAAGTGGTTTGCTTCAAGATATGGTCTGGATGTAGAGCCCACAGAACTTAACTGATGGATTCACAGCTCAGTGAAGCACATTCCCCACCGAAGCAGTAGTGGGGTCAGTCGTAATTGTCAGCAGCAACACCCCTTTCCTGTTACAACTTTACCAAGAATTCTCCTCATCCACGATTGGACTGGAACCTAAACATTCATGCCTGATTTCTGAAATCCACTTGGAGAAATAGCCACTTTCCACACGTTTTTAAATGGGGTCTAACTGACTTCTTACTCATATTTCCCACTCCAAACATATTTGTGAAATACTGGCCTGTCCCACAAAAATGCACACTGATAGCATGTTGCTGTTGTGGTTCTCTGCAGCCTGGATGGTTCTGTGACCCCTTCATGCTTAGTCGTCCTGCCGGAAACAAAGCTGTCTTGGCTACTTCATGCTTAACCAGTGGGTGGTAACTTTAGTGGTTGGCTGGAGTTCTTGTGCACGCTTGGGACTTATGTTGGAACAAACATGATTAGACTCCGACTAAAGTTGGACCAGAAATTTATTTTTGTCCTCCTTTCAGCTTCAACCAACCCTACAGTCTCTCATCAAAATGACAAACGGTCTTGACTTGATCAGGAGATTTAAAGATGAAAATCAGCCCTGGGTGCTTGCTTAGTATTGCATTCAAGTGGAGATTTTTTGAATTCATTTATTTTGTGGGGAAACAGAGCTAAAAATAGAGTGTGTGATCTCACGTAGAAAGTTTTCTTTTGTTTCCTGTGTGTCTGCTCTTAACATGTCTGTATTCTCTGTGGAGCCTTAGCTTCTGTCTCCTCCTTGAAGACAAACGTGTGCAGTCTTTATCTGGAACACCCATCGTGCTTTTTTCTTTCTTTCTTTCTTTTTTTTAACCCTCTCCTGTCTACTTAATTTGAGGCTTTTCATAATTAAGGATTTGCTAAAAGGAAGAAAAACTCACTTCTGTTCTGAGCCATGTGCCTCAATTTTCAACATCTTTTGTCCCGCTGATGTCTCATGGTGGCATTTATTTGCTCAGCTTACTTGTAGGAGGGTCTGTGGAATCTTAGAGATGCTCATTTGAATTTTGTGCGTGATTTTGTGCTTCTGTGTAATTGACTTTTTTTGTGATCTTACAGAATACCAAGCTGCTATTTTACACTTGAAGAGGGAACACAAAGAAGAAATTGAAAACCTACAGGTATATCTCTTTGATTCTACTGACCTGGTTATGTGAGACTGATATTTAGCTTTCTCTTGTGCTGAAGTGAGTATACCCCCTTTCGTTGAAGTTTTTAACTAGGCAGCATCTGCCACCTGCCCCTTTCCGTGGGCACCGGGTCTGTCCCGAGGTGGAAAGCCTCGGACTCTGTTTTTAATAGATTTCAATTGCTAGTTTTGAAAAAATTCCACAAATGCATTTGATTTGGTTGGGTAAACCATTGTTTTATTTTTAAAACAGATAAGAGGATAAGGAAGTAGAGTCCTTAGACTTTGCTGTTTGTATGAAGTAGTGTTAAAGTGGTTTTTCTTATGCACAGTGTAGATTACTTGGTTTGGCTTACTCCTCGTCCTGCCAGCATGTCTCAGCACATCCCTGTAATTTGATGCCATACAGATTGAGGCCCTTAAAAAAGGGATCCCAGTAAGGGAACAAGTTGTGCTGAGCCGTTCAGTATCCCCTGGGGACGCCTGGAAATCGCCTACTTGACCTTCCTTTGCGAAGCCCAGAAAGACTCAAGGTTCCTCCCCTTGGGCTGCTATCTAATTGTCATTCTCTTGTGTTTGACATTTGCTTGCAGTGCCTCTGACAGGAACTTCAGAGTCTTAACTTCAAATAAACTAATTATTGAATCAGGCACTGATTCTAGTTTACCGATGATGGAAGTGAAGCCATACTTCCGGAGACGACAATAGCAAACTTTAAACAGATCTTCTTACTTAGTGCTACCTGATTCCTTGCTAATTTCCTGAATTTGTGGGTCAGATATTCTGCTTTTTGTTAAGTGATAATCCACTTTTTTTCCTTTAATGAAAACAGGTTAACTTGTAGGAGGGCCTCTGGGATCTCGGAGATTCTCAGCGTGTTGGGTTATGCATGAAGTCAATGCAAGTAGTGTAGTATTGTGTGTGGGTTCAAGTCACACCCACCCAGTGTGGTTTAAGTAGTAATTAGAAAGAGGGAATGAGTCCATCTCAAAAAGAAACAAAAAAGTGGAAAAGTACTTCTGTCTCCTGGGGGAACGGAGAGGTGGAGGCCCTTAGTTCCTTGTTGCAAAATGGCCTACAGAGAGAGGCCTCTCTGTCTTTGCCTTTGTTCTGATGTGCAAGAGATTCTCAGCTGTCTCAGAGGGACTGAAATTGATGGGGAATCATTTCAGAAGCAGGTTGTTAAAGAGAGTAGTTGTAAAAGTGATTGTTCAAGCCGTTTTATATAACAGCTAAGTTGTAAGACTTCACCATAGCCTTCTCCAAGTTGTAGACAAGCCCCATGACAGCTAAATAATATTCATGGTAACAGTCGGTGCTAACGATTTTTGAGTTGTTACTATGTGTGCTAGACATTGTTCTAGGCATATTACCCGTATTATCTTGTGTCATCTCCACAAAAGCCCTGTGATCTTACATCTCAAACTAAGAAATGGTTGGAGATGGGAAACAGAAAATGGATCAAATTTATAGTGTGAATTACACCAAGGTATGATTGGCAATAGTAAAGGTGACTAAACCCAAAAAAACCCACTGCTGTTGAGTCGATTCCAACTCATAGCAACCCTGTAGGGTTTCTGAGGCTGTAAATCTCTACGGAAGCAGACTGCCACATCTTCCTCCTGTGGAGTCGCTGGTGGTTTTGAACCGCAGACCTTTCAGTTAGCAGCTTTAACCGCTGTGCCGCCAGGGCTCCAGTAAAAGTGAAAGTGTTCCTAATTATGCTTTTTTATTTTAACTTTAAGTAGCTCCAGAAGAATGATGTGCTCTAAAGAATTAGCTACTTTTTTCATACTACCAGTAAACTGTAAAAATACGTTTTTTTGCCCCATATTTATGATTGATACCTAACTGCTAAAACTCTTGCCATTTTGGAGAGGAGTTGTACCCAGTTTACCCAGTCTGTACAGTTAACTCTTGTTTGGAACTATCCAGACGGACAGCCCTCAGTAGGAATTTGGCAACTCTTACCCCTGATCTGACATGGAGAAGTATTTTGTTTGGTAAACACAGTGTTTTAAAAATTGAATTAGAAGTAGATATTTTAACATATGGAGATGTCTGTATTTAAAAAATCTGGATTTCTAACTGCTTCTAAAAATCCAGAAAATCTGGCCACAGTGGCCTTGTTTTCCTGTACGACTTGGACCTGCTAAGGTTGAGTCGCGGGCATCCACTTCATCCAGACCTCGTGCTCTCCAGTTTGCCACTGTTCCCACTCTGGGCCATTTCACCTGCCTGGACCCTCTCTGCTTTAATTAACACCTGTTCTCTGGCTGATTCTTAAAAACAAAAACAAAACCCAGTTAGATCGCTAGCAACACCAACCAATCAAAACGGATGCGCTTCATAAAACTAACAAACAAAAAGTACTCACTGAATATTATCTCTGCCTATTTTATGGCAAAAAGTAAGTCACATCTCCTGTCACAGGACTAACGGCTAATGCAAGATAATGGGTGGCAGAACTGCTATTTTGATTCTTGTTTTCTTACATGTGATTTCCATCGGTCATCTTCATTGCCTCTTAGAATTTCTTTCTCTGCCTGTAGGTCACGTGCCTTTCTATAATAAGAATGCTTACAAGTTTAAAACATTGGGAAAAAGTGAGTCATTCTGTCACCGTATACACAAATTGATATGTATCGTATTTAATTTTTTAACTTTTTTATTGTTGTAAAGATATATATAATATACACAACATTTGCCAATTCAAGATTTTTGTTGTTGTTGTTTTGTTTTTTGTTGTAGTTGAAGTGAAAGTTTACATTTCAAGTTAGTCTCTTATACAAAAATTTATGCATACATTGTTACGTGACCCTAATTGCTCTCCCAATACTGTGACAGCACACTCCTCCTTTCCTCCCCGGATTTCCCATGTCTATTCAGCCAGCTCCTGACCCTCTCTGCCTTCTCATCTCACCTCCAGGAAGAAGCTGCCCATTTAGTCTCGTGTATCTACTTGAGCTAAGAGGCACACTCTTCACAACTATCATTTTATGTCCCACAGTCCAGTCCAATCTTTGTCTGAAGAGTTGGCTTCGGAAATTGTTTTAGTTCTGGGCTGATAGAAAGTCCGAGGACCATGCTTTCCGGGGTGCCTCCAGTCTCAGTCAGACCATTAAGTGTGGTCTTCTTCCTGGGCTAATTCAAGGTTTTTCACCTGTACAATTTGGTGAAACTAATTACGTTAATCATGTTGTGCAGCCATCACTGGTTTATCTGTTGCCAAATTCTCCATCATCATAAGCAGAAACTCAGTGCTTCCTAAACGACGTCTCCCCTCTGTCTCCTCTCTGTCATCCCCGGTTACCGCGGTAGAGTCTGGTCTTTATACATTTGCCTATTTTAGATATTGCATATAAGTGAAATCATGCAGTATTTGTCATTTTGATTGACTTACTTCACGTGGCTTATGGAATGTTTTTAGAGTTTAAAGAAGCAGCATGAGTCAATAAAGAAGGACCAAAAATCAGCCTTCTATTCTTTCTTTGTCCACGGATTTATAGGGGAGTCACTTAATTGTTTCGCCTTCCCCACACCTCCCTCATGCAAAATGGAAACCTTACCAGCGGAAATAATTTGGGAGGGGGTTTGGCTGTTTTAACCAAAACTCCCAAGGCTAGTAAACAGGAGAGGCTGGAGCTGTTAATCTCATCCATGTCTGCAGCCAGCAATTGTTGAGGGCCCCACTGCGGAAAGGCCGTGGGGCTTGGCCCTGGGACCAGCTTTTCAGAATGTGTAGCAGCTTATATACATAGTCCCTTTATAATTCAAAAGCAAAGATTTATTGATGACTCGAATAAATCAATTCCTAGTGCCTTATTTTTGTACACCTTATACGCAACCTCAGAGCGCTTGGCTGACTTTTCTATTCAAATCTCCAGTGGGAAAGCTCAGGCAGGTCAGACATTTTCTATGGCTTCACTATTTCATGTCATTTATAAAGTAACCACGGCAAAGTTTTTTTTTTTTTTTAAATTTGTCCAAGTGTGCCCTTCAGTAGGAAACTCTGCCAAGTCTTTCTTGAGCTTTGTGCTCAGTTTGTGAAACTCAGCATCATCTGGCTCATTTTTTTGATTCTGGATAATTCTGTGCTACCATCGTCATTTTTGAGAAGGCAACACCTACCTTTACAGGTTCTAACTTACCTGGGAAATCTTTTGCATGTGCTGCCCATTACTCTGCAAGTTCACAACTGTTGGGATGATGTCAAAGAGGAATGAACACGTGCTCTATTAGAGTAAAAACAAGGAGATCTACCGAAGGTTCAGATTCAGTCCAGACCGGGGCAACGTCTGATCTCATAAGGTGAAATAAAAGCTCCTGAGAAGGGGAGGGGAAAAGCGTATATTTATGTGGTGAAAACAGGAACTAACAGTGCAGATCTATGGTTGGTGCTTGGTGAGGTAAAGTAGTTAGAGGTGGGGTATCTCAAAGCAGGAAACCAAAGGCTGTTGGTTTAGAGTACATGTGTGGGTTATTGGGACTGGTTGTACAGGATAACTGCAGAAGTAGTGACTGTAGTGGTGTACAGGGACCACAGGATGATTACAAAGTATTTCTTTCCAAGGACATTTGGTTTAAAAAAAAAAAGCCAGGGGAGCAGTATATTTCTTGAGGGAGGTCGGCTCTGGACACATCTGGTAAGCTTAAGGGCATCAGGACCGTCATAGGCACATCCTTCCCTTATCCTTGGCTTAACCACATAGAACAACGGTTTCGTAGTTACAGGCTTTTAAGGCTGTACAAAGGCCACTGAATATTAGAGAAGTTAGTAAGCATTAAGATGGAGTCTGACTCAGAGCCAGGCCAGCCATTTTCTTAGGGTCAAGTGCCTTAGTTTGGGGGGCTCCTACACAGTAGAGACACAGTTCAGACCTGCCATATGATAAAACTAATTTTCCCAAGGAGCGAATAGTTACTTCTTTGAGGGAGCTTAGGAGAAAGGATTTGAAAATCAGCGTCAAAGCTGGTTTATACAACCTTTCC